CTGCAGGAAACATGGAACCTCTGTCACCACGTCAAGGCTTTTAGGACAGGCTGCAGCACCAAGCCAGTCGAGGACTGCATGTGGTAGAACCTTCTTCCCCCCATTAACCCTGAAATAAAAGAATCTCAAGCTGTTGACATAATTACCCCTCTCTAATATTATTTTTTAATTCAGAGTTTTTAATTTTTTCACTTATACAGCAAGAAAGCAATGAAGTCCAGGAATTTATTATGAATTTATTACGGAATTCTGCCATGCAGATAGCATATGTTCTCATATTTTCTAAGTATATAAAGAGGTGTTATGTTGGACATGATTTGCTCTTCTTTTAGTTTTTTGATATTTAAAAAATTGTTTTACTTTAGATAGTTTATATACTAGTGAAAGGTTGTTTGCTGAAAGATAAGACGCTGGAATTCTTGGCCTCCGGAGGAGACAAATTCAATCTGGGGCCAGAGACGAGGCTGGATCGCTCAGAGCTTTTGTGTAATAAAGTTTTATTATAAAAGTATAAAGGAGATAGAGAAGGCTTCTGACATAGGCATCAGAAGGGGGAAGAAAGAGTACCTCCCTGCTAGTCTTCAGCTGGATGTTATGTAGTCACTAGCAGTCTGTTAATGAAAAGAAAGGAATGTCTTAAAACTCAGAATGGCACCTGGCCCCTCATCCATAAATTGCATTTTGGGATAATCTTGGCACCAGATGATTCATCCCAGGCCATAAAACAATTGACTTGAATCTTGTAGAAGGGCATATTACCATACAAATAGTTTCATTTACATAGATTAGGGGAACAATATCTGAGTATAACATACTGGTTTGTCAAGTAGGTTCTGAGCCTTTTGGCTGAATGACTTGAAGACAGAGTCTGGGGTAAATGCATAGCATATTAATATAGCTGAAGACAAACATTTCCTTAAGAAAAATGTATTGGTTAACTCAAGGCTTGAGAATAGTTAGCTTCAGGTGAAACCAGGTGTCATTATGGAAACACAGTATTTTAAGAGAAACCTCCTTTTAAATTTGTATAGAGAAGGAAAAAAATATTGCTAGTTTGTTTCCTCCTGCTGCTTAAGAGAGATAAAAAATGTCTGACACTTAGAGCCTATTTCCTCCGTTTGGAGACCCCTGGCCTTCCTGCCTGTTACCCTCTCACTAGGATATAGTTGATTTACAAGGTTGTGTTCACTGCAGGTATAAAACACAGTGATTCAGTTAATACATATACATGGATATATTCCAGGCTTCCCTGGTGGCTTAGGTGGTAAAGAATCTGCCTGCAATGTGGGAGACCTAGGTTTGATCCCTGGGTTGGAAAGATCTCCTGGAGAAGGAAATGGCAACCCACTCCAGTATTCTTGCCTGGAAAATCCCAGGGATGGAGGAGCCTGGTAGGCTACAGTCCATGGGGTCGCAAAGAGTCAAACATGACTCAGCAACTAACACTTTCATTCTCATATCTAGTCTTTTTTCAGATTCTTTTCCCATATAGGTTATTCTGTAATAAATGGTAGTTTTGTCTTTAAAAGCAATTAGCTACTTAGTTTCCTTTGCAGTGCAAAAACCGAAAACTCAGCAGTTGGCTTTTCTGACTGAATTGTTCCCCCTGAATCTCAGCGATCATGAGGTCTGCTGTCTTAGCTGCAAACTGGAGTCGGTCACGGCTGTCCGGGTCCGGTCCCCCGCCCCTCGCCTGTGTCTCAGGCCTTCAGCGAGCTCCTGCCTTGTCCCCAGCTCCGCAGCGCATCTGAGGGCACCCCGGGGGTGGGCAAAGGGAGCCAGGAGCTGTTCAGAAGAGGCTCCCCAGCCAGGCTGACCCGTGAGGCTGCTGCCACTGCCAGATCCCCGCTTCACAGAGAGTCCAGGCTCAGCCAAGTCCCCATGGCTAGTTGCTGATGAGGCTGGATTGCAGTGGGTCTGATTCTCCCCAGAACCCCCACCTCGTCAGGGGGTCGTGGGTGATGCTTCCCCTTCCATCACTGGGGTCACAGAGCCAGGGAGTGACCGGGCTGGACTGGCGCTGCAGGTCTGTGCCCCGAGTCCCCCTGCCACCTCGCAGGACCCAGATCCGTGCGTTCCCCAGAGACCTGTGTGCCCTCGGTGTCAATCTCATCCTGGCTGAACTGTTAGTGGAGTGGAGGCCTTGGTGGGCTGTCAGGGACGAAGCTCCTGCATCCTGCCCTTGCAGGACCATGAGCATCTCACTTGGGAACTTAGCCTGCTCCCCAGCATCCCTCAGCCAGGCCTGCTGCACCAAACGCAGAGATGGAAGACGCTCACCTGTTTCCAGAATGAGCCCAGCCCTGCCCAGTTGCTGACTGTAGGGCTGGTGGGCACAGGGCGAGATGCCCCTTCTGGAGCTGCTGGCTTTAGAGGCTGGCAGTTCCAACAGCATCTTCCTTTGTGCATTTGTGTTGGTTACACTCTCCTCTCCAGCTCTCCATGCTCCCTGGGTGAGAGTGGGTGTGTATGCTGGCTTCCTTGGATTTCTGTCTCTGGGCCTGTTTCCTCTGGTCAGCAGGCCCTGGTGGCTTTGGAGAGATAAGTGGATAGCGCTGTGTCGGGAGCAGAGCTGGCAGTACGGGATCTGAGGCCCTGTCCCGGCAGCCTGTGACCCTTGTGTCTGTCTGTGTCACAGGCTGCAGCCTGCCCACCCCACCCCAGCAGGTCCCCTGGCTCTGGGGACCTGAAAGCTGGGGACGTGGCCATATGACAAAACACGTCTTAGATTTTAATACTAGGTCTATATTTAGGCCTCTGGGAGCATGGTCTTGGAGCAAAGGGAAGTGAAGAAAGAGTTTAAAGAAGAGTGCATTAGGACTGAAAAGAAGATTTAAAACCTGCTGCTACAGCTGATTTGGGCAGGAAAAGACTTGGAGAGAGATGGGAAACACACTTCAACCTAATGTAAATTTCCTAGGGAAGATAATATTTGTTGTAACAGATAAGTTACAGATCTGTTCTAAGTGAACAGATAAGTTCACTTACAAACTTAGGAAAGAAGGAAAATTAGGAACATACTGATTTGGGTATTTGTATGTATGCACTGCTGTGGAAGATTTATACATTTATAATTTAGATATTTATAATTATATATGTACTTGTATGTAATTAGCATATATATCAGTTGTATGAATTCTTTTTCTAGGTTTGTTTTTCTTTTGTATTAATGTATTTGTTCTTACAAAGCTTTTACCTGTACATCAGAGACGTGTTTTCTTTGTTGAAATTCCATTTTGTTTTCACAAACTCAGTCATGTTATCTGTATTTGAATATTTAACTGGTTTTGGAGAAGTAGAACTGTCCTTCAGTGAAATGTCAATTCCAGAAAAGACATGGAGTGGGTTCCATTTAAGGTGAATGTGAGTTATAAGCAGGCTACTGGGTCCTGATCCTCCCCCACCCCACCCCGGGTTGGAGGGCTGGTGGAGAGGTGGTGGGAACAGTGACCCTGTCCGCTGACAGCTCAGTCCCCGGGGTGGTCCTGTCTGCCCTCTGGCTATGAGAACTCTAAATCTGCTGTGCAGTCCTCGGGAGAACGCACCCTCCCTGTGGACTTCATCTGAGCAGCTCACTGTCCCCTGCGGGACTTGTCGCAGTGGAGAGAAATGTTCAAAGTCTGCACTTAATCAAAATGCGAGAAAAGGCCTTGGAGCAAAGAGGGAGGGAGTGGAGCCAGCTCCTCAGGGCCAGCTGACACTCAGGCCGCAGAAAGCTCCAGCTCCAAACTTGCAAGTGATAGCATGCCTTGCGGGGCTCAAGGTTGCTGAGAGATTTGGCAGCCAGGCCTGAGTTCAGAGAACACACATACTCAGGCCAGGCGTCCTGCCTGGCGCTCGCTGCCTTGGGGGGGCGGGGGGTGGGCGGGGGTTTGCTGGAGCCCTGGTCTGAGCCTCGTGTTGTCCTGTTGTCATCACCTCCACCTCCACCTCGGGTGGGATCACTGAGCAGGAGAGTGATTGCATCAGGCCCAGGCAAGGTCCTGATTGGTCTGCCCCACGTGGCTTGATTCACTAGCTAGAGGACCGAGCTGAAGGCAGCCTGGTAGCAGCTGCCCTGCTGCCCAGAGACAGCTTGCCCAGCAGGCTTCTGCCGGTGGGCCAGCGCCTGGAGTGGGGGTCCTGCCTGCCAGGGACGGTGGGAGAGGCTGGGGACACACTGCCCTTCAAGACGCAAGTCTGGGTTTAAAATGCCGTCTTGTTCCTCTGACTGCTTCTTCCACGCTGTTGAGGTAAGATTTCTTTAAGAATCTGATGCTTCCTGTCAAGGCTACACCCCTATTGATTTTGCAGCTGGGGCAGAGAAAATGTTTCATCCTCTGGATTTCTGCTTGGCCATCCCCCTGTCTGGGAACTGTTCCTAGGTCATGGCTTTGAACAGCACTGGGAAAACGAAGCTGGCTTGGAATTTTGTAGGGGGGAGGGGCCAAAGAGTTTGGGGACTGCCCTTTTTAGTAGTTTAAATTTCGGCATGTGCATATTACTTTTTCTCATCTTCTTCCGAAGCCACACTGAATGTGAGGTGGGTAGGGAATGACAGGAGGAGGCAGTGGGTGCCGCCTGCTGCACTGGGGATCCTTGGGAGGGAGAACAGCTGGAGGCACCGGAGTTAGGGTTACTGCAGGGCGTCAGTGGCTTTGATTGCCCAGTCGGCTCAGCTGTAACCTCCAACCCCAAGACCACCAACAGCACTTAAAAGGAATTCTGTCACTTCCCGAGACAGATCCTGGCAGCGCAGCTCGCACACTGGTTTGGCTGTATGTCCCCGAGGTCTCCTGGGTGTTTTCAGAGCCTGTGTTGGAATCCTGTGTGTCCTATGCATCCACGGGGGTGAGAGGGGAGTGTTGATGGGTGCAGCCTGCAGTCTCCTGCTGCTTGGAAAACCAGTAATACATGTTGGAGCGCCGTCATCTATGCTTTTCCCGTTGTATGTTGTATCAGAGTGTATTTCTGAAGACCCATAGCTGTTCATCCGCAAGTGTCCCCTTCTTGTGTTGCAGGATGTTAAAGTCTTCAGTGAAGACGGGACGAGCAAAGTGGTGGAGATTCTGGCAGACATGACGGCCAGGGACCTGTGCCAGCTGCTGGTTTACAGAAGTCACTGTGTGGACGACAACAGCTGGACGCTGGTGGAGCACCACCCACACCTGGGATTAGGTGGGGAGCAGCTCTGGGTGGGGGCGCTCCAGGAGGGGGAGCAGCTCCGGGTGGGGAGCAGCAGGGGGCTGCTCAGGGTGCTGTCAGCTGCAGACCACCACCCCCGGATGCCAGACTGTCCCTGCAGGGTCCCCTGCCAGTGCAGCAGGTGGTCTGTGCCTGCTCCTGCTGCTGCTCTGCTTCTGAACTCTCCGCTTCCTCGCTCTCCCCTCTGGTGCTTTCAGAATCTCGCTCTTGGGTGTTTGGAGCAGTAGTTCTCAAGGGCTCAGACGCAGTAGGAAGGAGGGTCCCTCTGGTTCAACAGGACGACGGGCTGTGAGAGGCCCGGGGCTTGCTGCACACCTGTGCTCGGGGGTCAGCCAGAGGTGCCCTGGAAGATGCTGGCATCACTTTGCAGAGCCGTTCCCCCACCCTTCAGGGTCGGGGGGCTGTGGGGACCGCCTACAGAAGGGCACAAGGAGGCCCCCAGAAGTCGAGGGGGCAGTGTCACCTAAGTTTGAGTTTCCACAGTGTCTCTGGGTGAACTTGCTTTGAGAGAGCAAGAGATTATTTTGAAATGTGTTCTATTTCCAGAACTTATTAAAGTTTGGGGTTTGTTTGTTTGGTGGCTTATTTCAGGTAAAGAAGCTTTTCAGACTTTCATTTAATTTCTTACTGGATAATGTATGGTGCTTCCAAAATCATAGGCAAGTATTTAAAACCAGAATTTTCTGTGAGTCAACAGCTCTATTTTCTTTCCATGTCTCGAAGGAGAGAAAAACTGCACAGCTTGCAAACTTCTTCCCACAGCTGAAATTCTTTTCATAACCTTTTAGAACAATTAATAAATTGAAATTAAACCTAGGTCTGGCATATTCCTTTCACTAACGGGCATTTATGCAGCTCCTGTTATACAGTCTAAGCCCACGTAATACGAGGTCCGTTTGAGCTGGCACTGCTCGGGGCCACGTGTTCTGGCTCCCTGAGCTGTCAGACAGACGGTGTGTGGTTTAAAGTAAGCACTTCGAACTTCTGACTTCTTTCCTGTCACTGCGGATGTGCAGTGCACTTGCGTGTCATCAGAGGCTTTTTCCTTCATCCCCAGCAGCCTCCTAGCGGGTACATTCAGTGGTGCTCAGCAGGGCAGCTGACTGAAAGCCCCAGTGTGATACATCAGTGAATGGGCCCTGATGCTCTGATAGGGCCACCCACGGCATCTGCTGACACGCAAGCAATTTGGAAACTAGATAGTGTCGGAACCCTGCAGTTTGTGTGCACACACATGTGTATATGGACATGTATACATATGTGTGTACACATGTGCATATATATCCATGTACATGTGTACAGACATACATGGAGAATTAACTTTAAAGACATCTTTAAATTTGGATCTGCATAATTAGATCCAAATATAATGAATATTGTTGAAAGACTGTTCAAGAGTCTGACCACTTCTAAGTTACAAGGAACTATGAAAGCATCGTCAGCAGATATTCTAAAACATGACTGTCACTGTACACAGAGAATATATGCAGTGGATGCAGATACACAGAACATTGTCGCATTCAAGGACTGCTTGAGAAATTTTTGTTCAAGTATTTCTTTTCATAGCACCTGGTTCCTATAACATCACATAGTAGAGACATGATATATGTTAAGACTTGGGAAATGATTCCTCACATGAAGAATATTTATTCTGAGGGAATAAGAAATGATAGGCACATACACAGTAGTCTCAGGGATGTGATAGTGATAAGTTTTATTCTTTATTCTTTCTCTTAGTCACAGATGAGTTGACATACTGCTCTTTAGGGAACAATAGTTCATTATAACCAAGTAAAGAGAGGGGACAAAGAAGGGGAGGAGCAAGTAAAATCGTAAAAATGACAAAGACTGTTTGGACCCTGTTTGACAAAAAGAAGTCAGTGAGCTGAACTGCAGACACAGAAGGTCCCCTCAGAAGGCTCTCCTCGCTTTCCCCCATTGGGCCCTTCAGGAGCAGTGAGTGGGCCCGTCACCCTCGTGCCCAGGTCCCGTAGATGGTTCTGCAGGCTTACATCCACCAAGTCGGCAGCATCCGGGGACACCTCCCACTGTCCGCAGGGAGCTCACCCACTCCCGTCCCTGTCAGTTCTTCTCTTTGTGATCTGAGCCTATCATTTCCTTTCTGACCTGTTGCTCTTTAGGTGAAAGTCCTATTCTCACCATTTATCCCCCAGCATTTAATGGTCAGACGCCCAGCAGCAGGAAGAGGAAGGTCCGGCAGCCTGTCTCAGGCTTTCTGTGGGGCAGGGCTGTGGGAGCACCTTTCAGAGCAGCAGGGTGTTTCAGCATAACTCCCCTCACATGAGATGTTCTCTGTGCTAGATGGCGTTCTTGTGTTCCCAGGACCCCTGCCGCATGCATCTGCCACCTCTGCCCCACCATCCTCAGGGCAGAGCCGCCAGCCCCATCTCCCCGGTCACTGACTCCCCCTTCCAAAGGTCACACTCTTGCCAAGCGTATGGCGGGAATGCTCCTGGGACCAGCATGTGTGCAATGCTAGGGGCTCAGGCCAAAGGGAGATGATGCGAGCTGATCCCTAAGGCAAGTGGCTGAGTCAGTGTGTAGCCTCAGAATTTGAGGATTTCCAGCCACAATTACTGTGCCAGTCTTTGCAGCTAAGCTATGATAACCTTAACAGTACTAAACTTTTTCACACTCAGAAGTGAGTGATGATTTAGGAGATGTGGGACAGTTACTTCCTTTCCATTAGTCAGAGACCATGTGTGTGGGGGGGGTCTCCAGCCTCTGAGGGTACCCTCAGCATAGCATCATGCTCACAGGAGCAGGGGCAGCTGCCAGCATGAGTGGGCGGCATCTCTGGCTGGTGGGACCCTCTCTGCCCTCCCCCTGAACTGGACTTGCTGCCGCAGCCGGGAACAACGTCCCTCCTGGTGCTACTGGCAGCCCCTACAGGTCCTGCGGCACTTTGGCTTAAATGTTGGGGCAGAGCCCTGAGTGATCCGTGGTCTTGGGTGGCTGTGTCACGAGTTCCCTGATTTGGGTTTGTTCCTAGTCAGATGAGAAGGGCATGGCAGCCGCCCTTTGGAGGGCCCAGCGCATCCAGACCCCGACATCTGCACATGCAGACAGGGGTGGTGGGAGGAGCAGCTGCCCACCTTCAGCCCTGGTGCTCACAGGTGCCTTTACAGGCTGATCCTTGTCTCTATCCCTGTGTCTGTTACATCTGAAAGGCACCAAATGACGCCCTTTCCCCACTAACGGATACCCCTAGCGGGAAGCTGCTTGTTGGGCAGATCTAGACATCAGGATGCTTTCTGAGGGTCTGTTTTGCTTCTCACAATTCTGTGTAGCCAGGCAGCGCCCTGGGCAGCGGTTCAGTGCTCTGATCTGTGCCATGTGGGCTGTGCTGGTGCTGAGGGGCCGCGGGGGTCAGCGAAGTGGGATGCTGACACCTCCTAGTGCTGTCGGCTGGGCACTGGGTCTGCCAGCCCCACCCCCACCCGCTGGGGCTGTGCAGGTTTCTGCCGAGGAGTCCTGTGTCCGCTGCATGGCCACAGAAGTAAAATAGACTTTTTAAAGAAACATTGAAGTGGAGTTGATTTACAGTATTGTGTTAATTTGTGCTTCACAGCAACGTGACTCAGTTCTACACACACGCACACGCACATATATATTCTTCTCTGTATTCTTTTCCATTCTGCTCTGTCACAGGCCCTGTGGTGTACAGTGGGACCATGTTCACCCATCCTGTATGGAATAGTTTGCATCTGCTAATTCCAGCCTCCCAGCCCTTCCCTCCCCCAGCCGCTTCCCCAGCAGCCACAAGTCTGCGCTCTATGTCTGTGAGTCTGTTTCTGTTTCACAGACACATTCACTTGTGTCATGTTTTAGATTCCACATAAAAGTGACACTGTGTGGTATTTGTTTCTCTCTTTCTGGCTTACTTCACTTGATATGGTACTCTCCAGGTCCATCCGTATCGTTGCACAAGGCACAGTTTCATTCTCTTTCATGGCTGAGTAGTCTTCCATTGTGTACCCGTGCCGCATCTTCTTTGCCCATTCCTCTGTCAATGGCCATTTAGGTTGCTTCTGTGTCTGGGCCTTGTGGAGTCGGCAGAGTGACCCCCGGCAGAGACGCATCTGCTACCGGGACCCTTCACAGCCTGCTAGTGCTGTTGTGTGTGGCTCTCCCAGGACTGCTGGGCCGGGAGGAGAGGAGCCTGCCCAGACGTGGTGTCTGGGTGCCCCGTGCAGCTGGTAGCTCCTGTTGGGAGGACCAGGTCATTGCCACCTGCCGTTTTATTTCTCCTTATTCTACCTGTTATGTGCGTCTGTTAGTCACCCAGTCATGTCTGACTCTTTGCAACCCCTGGACTCCTCTGTCCATGGAATTCTCCAGGCAAGAGTAATACTATAGTGGGTTGCCGTTTCCTTCTCCATATTTTACCTGGTGGAAAAACCTTAATTGTATAAACCAACCATTATCAGCCTATTGGGTTGTAGTTGTCCCCCCCCCCCCATAACTACAGAAATATTTTTCTCTGAATTAAAATCTTCAGGAAAGTCATGAGTTTGTTTTAAATGGAAGACATGTGCTTATTCCTATTTTGCTGTTGTTGTTATCTATCTTATTTTATCCTATGTGCTGACCGCTATCTTGGAGGCAGACAGAACTGTTTTAGCCATGCTGCCCCTGGTCCTTCTCTCCTGTCCTGGGGAGACCTCGCGCAGTGCGTGGGGTTCATGAATTGCTGGCCAGTTCCCCTCACATCCGGGGCCTGTCGGTGGGTCCCTGGCAGCGCCCAGTCTGGCCCATGCTGAGGTGCCCGAGCTTTCTGTCCATCAGGGGGAGGAAATTCAGGCTTTGAGTATGTCTCTACCAAGGAATCCTGCCCTGATATCAAATCAAGGCTGAGTGTGCTCTGCATGCCATCATACCCGACTCAGACCAGCGCCCTGGTGACTGTGTCCTTCATGGACAGGAATTCTCCCACGTTCTGAGATGCCTTTGACTCAGAATGCTATCACCCTCCACTTCATCCTCCCTTGAAGATGAGACTTTCTAGGGCTTCCTGGCTGGCAGTGTAAAAGGAGATGGGGGCTGGGAAGGGCTGACACGGCCCTTTTGGGTCGATTTCATAGCATCTGCTTCTCTACCACTTTGGCCTCGGTTCACGAGCGAAGCTGCCCTGGGTTCCCTCCGGTCCTGTGTCGCCTTAGGGAATGGGGTTGATGCCGGGCTGCCCCGTCAGCAGGCTGCATGTGGACACGCAGGGGGCGCTGGGCCACGGAGCAGACTGCTGTCTTGTGCCCCCGTGGAGCCAGAGTGTTCAGGCGACGCGAGAGAGCCTGCCCCCGGCTGATGGCGTGGCTGAATCCTCGCCGAGGAGTGTGTGTGTGCACGCTCGCACGAGGGCCGTGCGATGCATGTGTCCTTCCCAGCAACCCGCCCCAGCTGTGAGAGCGGCTCCAGGATGCGTGTGGCTCATGTGGGCTCTGGCACTCGGCCAGGTGTGGGGCGGGCTGCCTGCTGGTCGCTCCCTGCCCCATGCTCACCCCGGCGGCTGAGTTTCACGCAGTCAAAGCCGTATCCCATGTGCTGCCCCTTTATCCATGCACCTGTGCGTCCTCCATGCTCAGAGCCCTCCCGCTCTGTCTTTGGGTATTTCCCAGTTGTTAGAGTCCCTGTTCTTTTCAAGAGTTGACATTTCTTAATTTAAAGGCAAAACCATTTACAAAGAGTCCTTTTTAAAGATAGTTTTTATTTGGCTGTGCTGGGTCTGAGTTGTGGCACATGGGTCTTGGTTGCCCCACACATGTAGGATCTTAGTTCTCTGACCAGGGATCGAACCCACGTCCCCTGCATTGTAAGGCAGGGTCTCAACCGCTGGACCACTTGGGAAGTCCTATGAAGAGTCTCTATTGACTCTCCTTAAGCTTTGTTGATGCCAAATTGAAAAGAAGTACGCAAAAGCAAAGATTGACCTGAGTTCCTTATACTCTGAGTCCTCAGACCTCTCATGCACTTGATAACGCGCTAAAGTGCGATTTCACTTTACTTTCGCTCTCAGTCTCACCTTCACCACGACGCTTAAAGGATGGAAAAGTCAGGTTTTGTATTTGGTTGCGAGGCTGCCTTGAAGGCTCTGCCTGTTTCATCTCCCGCAATACTTTCTCCTGCAGAGCGGTGCTTGGAAGACCATGAGCTGGTGGTCCAGGTGGAGAGCACCATGGCAAGTGAAAGTAAATTTTTATTCAGGAAGAATTATGCAAAATACGAGTTTTTCAAAAATCCCATGGTGAGTTTTATCCCTTTGGATTTGGGGTTTGGAACTCTGGAAATATTGCAAGTATAAACTTCTTGAGTTTCATTGTAGCTGATCACAAAATAACTAACTAAGATGTAGTGGGAGACAGATGGTTTGAGAATCAGGTTGAGAATCAGTTAACCCAGCAATACTGGCTCAAAACTGTCTCTCTGATGCGTAATTGAATGCCTTTTTTCTGACCAAGGTAACCATCGCCTTTTCCCAAAAGTAACAGTGGGTGAGGAGGTCAGTCTCTAAATGGAGAGAGAGAGCTGGGGTGGGCTTCTTCAGTTATTTTGGAAGTTCTTAGTTCAACTGGAGCAACTTGGTCAAATAGTAAAATAAAAACTCATCACTCTCGGCAAGTAGCAAATATTGCTTTGGGATTATTTGGGGAAGAATTAGTAGAGAAATCAACATCGGGTATAATGAGCTAGTTTCTTGGAGTTTTCTATTTGGGGGGCTAGGGCCGGTGCCTTGTGGGATGTCAGGATGGGGAACCGCGTACCTGCCGTGGCGTGAGCCCCAGTCCTGAGTCACAGCAGCGGTAGCTGTGGGGAGAAGTCCCGGTGCCTACTTTTGGTCCTGATAGTTTAGCTGCTTTTTTATTGAAAAGAAGAGATTTGAGAACTGCTTTTGGATAATGCACCAGAAAAGGCTTCTTCACGTCCCCTTGCCCATCTCCTGGTTTCAAGAGTTCTTTGTCTTGTGCACCCACCTGTGTCCTTGAGTTAGGGGTCGGGGCAGCCCACTGCCCGAGTGCACTGTGAGGCATGGGTCAGAGAGGGCATCACGGACTTCAGACTTGATCCTGCATTTAACAGAAGATGCAGCCTTTTGAAGACAGTGTTTCCACTGTGTAATAAAGAAATTAAAAGGACCATCATTTTAAATACAAATTGTCCATAATCGTACCTGTAGGGATGTTTTTTGTTCTGGCATATCTGTAAGTATGTTTTCCCCACTTGGAAGCTAACCTTTACCATCTTTGTTTTTCCACATCCTAGAATTTCTTCCCAGAACAGATGGTTACGTGGTGCCAGCAGTCCAACGGCAGTCACACCCAGCTTTTGCAGGTACTGGGCAGGAAGAGGCTTCTGCTGGAGTTTCTGCATAGATGCTCTTGGGCTGTCCCAGGGTCCTGGTAGAAACTTGGATCAGTTGAGCTCTTCCTCACAAATATGAGCATTGGCTCCTTTTGGAATTTAGAGTATCCAGGAATATATGTTTACTTGGGAAAGCTGTGTATAGCCAGGCTTCGCAGGTGGCCCTACTGGTAAAGAACCCACCTGCCAATGCAGGAGACATAAGAGACAGGTTCGATCCCTGGGTCGGGAAGATCCCCTGGAGGAGAGCATGGCAACCCACTCCAGTGTTCTTGCTGGAGAATCCCATGGGCAGAGGAGCCTGCAGGCTACAGTCCATGAGGTCACAGAGTTGGACACAACTGAAGTGACTTAGCATGCATGCAGCCAGGCTCCCTCAAAACAAGCACTTAGAAACAGGATAAACTGGCAGAGCCCATCAGAGCAGGAGGGTGGGGTAGAAAAGCTGCAGCTCCCGTGTTCCCTGCGAGTACCACCCCCGACCTCCAAGCACAAGGCCCTGGAAATCGCTACAGAAAGATTGGGTCTGTCTCATAGTAAAAACTGATTCACGCATGCATACTAAGTCACTCAGTCATGTCCAACTCTTTGCGACCCCGTGGACTGTAGCCCACCAGGCTCCTCTGTTCATGAGATTCCCCAGGCAGAATACTGCAGTGGGTTGCCATGCCCTCCTCCAGGGGATCTTCCTGACCCAGGGATCGAACTTGCATCTCTTAAGTCTCCTGCTTTGGCAGCTGTGTTCTTTATCACTAGCACCACTTGGGAAGCCCCCAGAACTGATTAGGTTGCTCTAAAACCTTTAACAAGTTACTTGTTAGACTCTAAAAAAAAAACCAACACACCTATCTTCATTGTCTCCTCGCTTCCTAAAGTCTGTTCCAAGTTACACCTGGCCTTTCCCTCCCCCACCAATAGAAGGGGCCACCAGCTGCCTCTCCACATTTAGTGCTGACTCATGCTCTTCTAGGAGGCCAGAATATTCCTCTGCACCCCCAAAAGGCATCTCTTAACAGCGTGTTAAGTGAGGGAATAAACAATTCGCTAATGCAACCAGCACTCTATGCTGCTGTTGCTAAGTCGCTTCAGTCATGTCCGACTCTGTGCGACCGCCTAGATGGCAGCCCACCAGGCTCCCCCGTCCCTGGGATTCTCCAGGCAAGAACACTGGAGTGGGGTGCCACTGCCTTCTCCAGTGCATGAAAGTGAAAAGTGAAAGTGAAGCTGCTCAGCAACCCCATGGCGTGCAGCCTCCCGGACTCCTCCGTCCCTGGGATTCTCCAGGCGAGAGCACTGGAGTGGGGTGCCACTGCCTTCTCCAATGCGTGAAAGTGAAAAGTGAAAGTGAAGCTGCTCAGCAACCCCATGGCCTGCAGCCTCCCGGACTCCCCCGTCCCTGGGATTCTCCAGGCGAGAGCACTGGAGTGGGGTGCCACTGCCTTCTCCAATGCATGAAAGTGAAAAGTGAAAGTGAAGCTGCTCAGCAACCCCATGGCCTGCAGCCTCCCGGACTCCCCCGTCCCTGGGATTCTCCAGGCGAGAGCACTGGAGTGGGGTGCCACTGCCTTCTCCAATGCATGAAAGTGAAAAGTGAAAGTGAAGCTGCTCAGCAACCCCATGGCCTGCAGCCTCCCGGACTCCCCCGTCCCTGGGAGTCTCCAGGCGAGAGCACTGGAGTGGGGTGCCACTGCCTTCTCCAATGCATGAAAGTGAAAAGTGAAAGTGAAGCTGCTCAGCAACCCCATGGCCTGCAGCCTCCCAGACTCCGCCGTCCATGGGATTCTCCAGGCGAGAGCACTGGAGTGGGGTGCCACTGCCTTCTCCAATGCATGAAAGTGAAAAGTGAAAGTGAAGCTGCTCAGCAACCCCATGGCCTGCAGCCTCCCGGACTCCCCCGTCCCTGGGAGTCTCCAGGCGAGAGCACTGGAGTGGGGTGCCACTGCCTTCTCCAATGCATGAAAGTGAAAAGTGAAGCTGAAGCTGCTCAGCAACCCCATGGCCTGCAGCCTCCCGGACTCCCCCGTCCCTGGGAGTCTCCAGGCGAGAGCACCGGAGTGGGGTGCCACTGCCTTCTCCAATGCATGAAAGTGAAAAGTGAAAGTGAAGCTGCTCAGCAACCCCATGGCCTGCAGCCTCCCGGACTCCCCTGTCCCTGGGATTCTCCAGGCGAGAGCACCGGAGTGGGGTGCCACTGCCTTCTCCAATGCATGAAAGTGAAAAGTGAAAGTGAAGCTGCTCAGCAACCCCATGGCCTGCAGCCTCCCGGACTCCCCCGTCCCTGGGAGTCTCCAGGCGAGAGCACTGGAGTGGGGTGCCACTGCCTTCTCCAATGCGTGAAAGTGAAAAGTGAAGGTGAAGCTGCTCAGCAACCCCATGGCCTGCAGCCTCCCGGACTCCCCCGTCCCTGGGATTCTCCAGGCGAGAGCACTGGAGTGGGGTGCCACTGCCTTCTCCAATGCATGAAAGTGAAAAGTGAAAGTGAAGCTGCTCAGCAACCCCATGGCCTGCAGCCTCCCGGACTCCCCCGTCCCTGGGATTCTCCAGGCGAGAGCACTGGAGTGAAGTGCCACTGCCTTCTCCGATCCAGCACTCTCTAGGTGGCACCAAACATGAGAGAAAGTACTAGAATGCACTTCCTATAGAATTCTCCCCTGAGCCCTCCCTTTCCTGCTTTATTTCTTCTGCGTCTGGAAGCTGAGCGCCTCTGTGTTCTGTCCTGGGCCCTCCCACCAGAGCATCTGTCTGCTCTGGGCTAGAGTTGTCAATACTTAGTTATCCTGGTTTATGCACAATGAGGGCCAAATGATTTCTTTCTTCTTAGTTGCCTGATTTGAGATGATTTGGTGCTTGGTGAGCGGGTCCAGTGATCTCTGGAGACCCCAGAAGCACTGCCTGGGGGCAGTAGGACCTGCCCAACTGGCCTGTCCCACCTGCAGGAGGAGAAGTGTCTGTCTCAGTGGAGGGGACCCACAAGGGTCACCCCAGACCTGGCTCCTGCCCTCTGTTTCCCAAAGAAAGAGGTGCTGCCAGTGGGCGGAGTTAACGGGGAATGTGGGCTGTCACCAGGGTGCTTGTTTCAGGAGACGGACAGACACAGGATACGCAGCTTTCACCAGAGGACATGTGGTCAAAGTGATGGCCAGATGGTTTCTCCCAGCCCACATGCTCGTGATCAGTGCTTCTGGCACTTCTGTTGCCCCAACTGAGGATCAGACTGGGATTTTTAAGGAAAAATAGAATAAAGGGCAGGATGCTTAAACATATGGTCTTATTAGGAGATTTATGACTTCTGTTTTTCACCGTTAAAAAGATCTATTTGATTGTGTGTGTTTAAACATGAATTATATTTTAGGCACCACCAATTTAGATGGGAATTTTAAGACTTTTGAAAGGAAAAACATTTGAAAACAATCAATTTAACACAAAAAGAGTATTTTGGTAATTCATAAAATGTTCCAATGTCAATGATGCTCATAGTATATCTGTTCTCATAATTTCACATCAGTATTACCTGACTTTTAAAATTTGCTCTTCAACAGAATTTTTTAAACTCCAGTAGTTGTCCTGAGATTCAAGGGTTTTTGCACGTGAAGGAGCTGGGAAGGAAATCGTGGAAGAAGCTGTATGTGTGTTTGCGGAGATCTGGCCTCTATTGCTCCACAAAGGGAGCTTCGAAGGTGAGTTTTAAAGCTGCAACTGCCAGTCACAAGGCTGGGAGGGTTCCGAGTAAAGGTGCGCACCATGGCCGCCTCCCAGCTCATGACGTGTTAAGCCGAGTGTGCAGCCGCTGAATTCAGAGATCCTGGTGCAGAGGTCTCCCTGGGAAGCCAGGTGATGACAGACCTAGGGACCCGGGGGCTGTGTGCCGCCCCCCCACCAAGCGGGCCAGCCTGGGCTCCCTCTGTGGGCTGGCAGCAGAGCCTGATGGGGGTCCGAGTCCCTTGGAAGATGCTGACTTAGTGTCTGTAATTTGGACGTTGGTGTCTAGGATAGCCATGAGGATATTCAATAGATTATTGTCACCCTGATGCCAGTCTAATACATGTTATTGTAGATATTTTATGGAATAAATTGCAGGTTGTGTGTACCCACACTAAGAAGAGGAGGTGAGGGATTGCAAATGGCTGCAGGCCTCTGAAGAGAGTTGGGGTATTGTGGGCTGGCCTTGCTGGGGTCTCTTTTGGTGTCTTTGCATTTCTGACCTATTTTCCTGTAACATCCGAGGGCACCTGCCATGGGAACATATCCAGCTGACCTTGGCCATGCTTATACCATCCAAGAGCTGTAGTCTCTTCTATTCCCGCAGGAGAGAGAGGGGAGGAGCTGGGGACGCCAAGGGAGGGTGCTGGCCCAGCCTCAGGTTCTGGGAAGTCAGGAGAAAAGGAGCACGGCCACCAGAGAGGAGGGTGTGGCCACAGGAAAGGGGGCGTGGCCACTGGGGAAAGGGGGCGTGCGCTGGGGGAAGGGGCGTGGCCACCAGGGAAAGGGGGCGTGACCTGGAGGGAAGGGGCATGGCCACCAGAGAGGAGGGTGTGGCCACCAGGGAAAGGGGGCGTGGTCACCAGGAAAGGGGGCGTGCGCTGGAGGGAAGGGGCGTGGCCACCAGAGAGGAGGGTGTGGCCACCAGGGAAAGGGGGCGTGGCCACTGGGGAAAGGGGGCGTGAGCTGGAGGGAAGGGGCGTGGCCACCAGAGAGGAGGGTGTGGCCACAGGAAAGGGGGGTGAGCTGGAGGGAAGGGGCGTGACCACAAGAGGGAGGGTGTGGCCACCAGGGAAAGGGGGCGTGCGCTGGAGAGGAGGAGTGTGGCCACCAGGGAAAGGGGGCGTGAGCTGGGGGAAGGGGCGTGGCCACCAGAGAGGAGGGTGTGGCCACCAGGGAAAGGGGGCGTGGCCACTAGGGAAAGGGGGCGTGCGCTGGAGGGAAGGGGCGTGGCCACCAGAGAGGAGGGTGTGGCCATCAGGGAAAGGGGGGTGAGCTGGAGGGAAGGGGCGTGACCACAAGAGGGAAGGGGCGTGACTGCACGCCCTTCCTCTGAGGCTGCAGGCCTTGCTCACAAGGAGGTCCACTTCCTAATTTCCCGGCACTGATTGTGTGGCTTCTGCGTCCTCCTCCTTGCTGCTGAGCCCCAGGTCATTTGTCGCCTGGAGCAGGAAAAAGATGTGGGATGGAGAGTTAAGGCACAGGATGGCACAAACTGTTGATGCTCCCATCAACAGTTTTTTGCAAGCACAGTTGGCCGCTGATCACTCAGCATAACAAAGGTGGCGGGGGTCTTGCGTTTGAGTGTGTGCGCCTAACCTTCACCAAGGTTTGCAGATGTCCTCGTTACCGCTTTGAATGTTACCTTATGAGGCGGAATATCAGATAGATTGTATCCATCTGTCTGAGTATTGGGAGGTTTTTAGCGGGCCCTGGGGGATATGGTTTTAACTTGGAACTTCTGTTACACCACATAGACTGTCAAAGGGGGGAGGTGTTGCGAGCGCGCGTAGACTGCCCTCTGCTGACAAGGACAGGAAACACTTGCTCTTGGCGAGTGCGGAGAAGCTCCCCGCTGTAAACCTGACCACCTCCCTGCAGGAGCCCAGACACCTGCAGCTGCTGGCCGAGCTGGAGGGCAGCAGCATCTTCTCCCTGATTGCCGGCAGGAAGCAGTACGGTGCCCCCACGGACTATGGCTTCTGCATAAAGGTACCGCCCACCCCGAGACTCATGGACCACATCCCACTGTGAACTCTGAAATTAAACCAACGACCTCCTCTCTTGGTTGTTGCTTTTTTAAAATAACAAACAGTTTCACATTGGATTTATGCATTGGTGTAAAAATATTTCATGTGTGCTTTCAATGTGTCAGTCTTTGAATAGCTCAGATGCTCAGAGAAAAGCAGAATCCATGATAGACAATGCCACGTGGTTTAGGGATGATGGGCCCCGTGGCTTAGGGACCCCCGCAGCCTGTCACCTCAGTGGCCTCCAGGGTACTGAGTGAGCTGATGCCTTCTGTGTGGGCTTCCAGTAACCAAGACATTAGACTAGGGGTGACCACAACTCTGCTTCTCACTGTGCAGGTGTGTGAGGACACATGCTCACACATATACTCACATGTGCATGTATGTACCTGCACACACCTGTGTGAACAAGCACATGCACACATGTGCACATGTAGACATATGGGTGGACGCTTATGTGCACATACACAGTCCTTCCGACTCTGAGGCTGTGATTCAGTCATCATAATAGCAGATATTTATTGAATTACCCACTGTGCACAAGACATTCTGCTGAGGTTTCTACCTCCATCATCTTCCTGGGTCTTCCCAGGTGCTCACAGGGTGGGAACTGCCCAGCCCTGTTGCCCACATCAGTGAGCGAGCCCATAGTCCCCCAGCTGGGCTGTCTTCTAAGCTAGAGGAGGAGACAGGGCACAGGGAGCCTATTCCATCCAAAAATACCATTTTTCTGCTTGACTTAGTGAAGCTGCCTTGGTTACAAGTGGTAAGAACCGACCTCAAAGCCGCTGAAGGCCGTGGTGCACAGGTGGCTGGTGGAGAGCGGCTGTGGGGGCAGTTGTGGGGAGGGGCTGGAGCCCTCCAGGCTGGCACTGCCCACTCCCTCCCCTCTGGCCCACATGCCAGCCCACAGCCCTGCAGCCTCTGCCTCTCCCATGTATCCGCCACACGGAGGGCTGTCCTTCGACCCTCCTCGCATCCAGGTTCCCTGGGTTAGTCTGACCCCGCGGGGCACCTCGGGTCTGGGCTCAGAGGGCCCAGCCCAGCCTGTGCCTGCAGGCTTTCTTCCATCACAGCCGGCCCTGCCCCTGGCTGGGCACCTGCCAGCTCCTCTGCCTCCTCTGTGGCCACATGGGTCTCCCTCTCCGGACCTTTCCACAGCGTGCGTCCTTGGCCTCCACAGCCCTGAGTCTTGGAGGCTTCTTCTTGCCTTGCTCAGCCTGCGGGCCCTTCCCACGGCTGCCTCTCGCTCGGAGGTGACTGAAGGCACCTCCCTGCAAAACACAGGAGTGGCTGTCCTTCCAGGAGCCCGCCCTCCCGGGCCCCACCACCTTGGTGGTTTGCATCCCTGTCTGTGTCCCCAGCACCCACTGCGGGAGGAGGGCTGGCCACTCAGCTAAGCACTGCGTAACCAGCTAGCAGGCCCGGCCTGTGCCCCACAGCACCGTGAGTGATGCCCAGTGCCCAGGTACACACAGCTGCCTGTGCTCCCGTTTTTGCCACCTGCTGGGCTGTGCTGCGGGTGGAGCTCAGCTCTGCCCTGAGAGGAAGGCTGGTCCTGGCTCACTGTCACACTCACAGGTCTTTCTTCTCCACCTGTAGCCAAACAGAGTCAGAACCGAGGCTAAGGAGCTGCGCTTGCTCTGCGCCGAGGATGAGCAGAGCCGGACATGCTGGGTGACAGCCTGCAGGCTCCTCAAGGTGGGTCCCTGTGGCCGCGGGGTGTGTGTGTCAGCCCCGAGGTCACTGTGTGGGTCACCTCCTGGTCACTGGGTGTGTGTCAGCCCCGAGGTCAGTGTGTGTGTGTGTGTGTGTGTGGGGGAGCCCACGGTCACTGTGCATGCGGCGGTCACTGCGTATAAGACCCCGAGGTCACAGCGTGTGACAGTGCACACCTCTCCGTGGATGAAGCCTTTCCCCTCTGCGTCCCGTCACTGGGCTCTAGGAGTCGAGGGTCCTCACATGTTTTTTCAGAGTCTGAGAAGCTCCCACAGAGCCATTGTATCAGCGGAGCCGGAGCCAGTTCCTGACCTAGAGCTGGTGGCATTTAGGGAGGGAGCAGGCTGTGCTGCACTTTGCAGGACATTTAGCAGCCCTGCCCTGATCTCTCCCGTGAGATGCCAGCAGCACCCTAGCATCTGAGACAGCCCCAAGCGTCCCCTGGGTGTGTGGGGTGGGTTGAGAACCACTGCCTTAGAGAAATGGGGAGCAAAAGGTCGGGACCAAGGAGTCAGCAGATGGGGGTGGGGTGGGCACACATAGGCCATCAGGAGGTTGGTGGTTTTCCTGACAGCATCACACTCCGGAATTCCCAAAATGCCAAGGCCTTGCAGGAAACATGACAGATCGTTTGGCTCCTCACAGGGTCTCAAGGGAAACAGTGTCTCCCGACAATAATTCTAAAGGAAATGTCTTGCTCAGACCATCTCATGGGATCGCACCCCACAGCGATTTCACAGAAACAGCCCACGTGACCTTGCATGCCCTTTAGTAGAAGCACAGGGCCGTGTACAGCCCTATAATGTGGACCAGAGTGTTCTTCCGCACACACACCACGTGCTGGAAGCTCCTTGGAATAGAAAGTCCTCCTGAGTTACAGGTTAGCTGATAAAACAGACTTGGCCCAAGTCAAGGGCTGGAAGGGACGCGTGTCTGCTTAGCTGCGGCCACCACATGCAACCAGTCTTTTAGAGAAGTCCCCAGCCGTCCTGAGGATTCCAGCTACCCCGAGACTCTGGGTGGCGTCCCTGGGAGATAGACGGGGGAGACTGAGCTCTGAAGACTCCTGAGAGGCACTGCAGGCTTCTGGAGAGGCGGCCAGTGTTCTTCTGTCCCAGAACCTTACTTTGTTTTATTTTTTGTCACTAAAAAACAGAGAAGGGTTAAAATATACATTTTACTGTTCTGTAATAGAGGAGTAAGTAATGCGTCGGTGCAGGACATCCTGCATCATAGGCTGCCCCTGACGTGGTGCTGTCCTCAGTCGCTCACTCGTGTCTGACTCTAAAACCCCATGGACTGCAGCCCGCCAGGGCCCTCTGTCCACGGGATCCTCCATTTCCTCCTCCAGGGGATCTTCCCAACCCAGGGGTTGAACCCTTGTCTCCGGTGTCCTGCATTGGCAGGCAGGTTCTTTACCACTCTCGCCACCTGGGAATCCCCTTGCTCCCTGACAGTCAGTCAGTTCAGTTCAGTTGCTCAGCTGTGTCAGACTCTTTGCGACCCCCGTGGACTGCAGCATGCCAGGCCTGCCTGTCCATCACCAACTCCCAGAGTTTACTAAAACTCATGTCCATTGAGTCGGTGATGCCATCCAACCATCTCATCCTCTGTCGTCCCCTTCTCCTCCCACCTTCAGTCTTTCCCAGCATCAGGGTCTTTTCAGATGAGTCATTTCTTCACATCAGGTGGCCAAAGTATTGGGGTTTCAGCTTCAACATCAGTTCTTACAATGAACACCCAAGACTGATTTCCGTAAGGATGGACTGGTTGGATCTCCTTGCAGTCCAAGGGACTCTCAAGACTCTTCTCCAACACCACAGTTCAAAAGCATCAATTCTTCAGCACTCAGCTTTCTTCACTGTCCAACTCTCATATCCATACATGACCACTGGAAAAACCATAGCCTTGACTAGACCGACCTTTGTTGGCAAAGTAATGTCTCTGCTTTTTAATAGGCTGTCTAGGTTGGTCATAACTTTCCTTCCAAGGAGTAAGCGTCTTTTAATTTCATGGCTACAGTCACCATCCGCAGTGATTTTGGAGCCCATATAAAGTCTGCCACTGTTTCCCCATCTATTTGCCATGAAGTGATGGGACCGGATGCCGTGATCTTAGTTTTCTGAATGTTGAGCTTTAAGCCAACTTTTACCCTCTCCTCTTTCACTTTCATCAAGAGACTCTTCAGTTCTTCTTCACTTTCTGCCATAAGGGTGGTGTCATCTGCATATCTGAGGTTATTGATATTTTTGCCTGCAATCTTGATTCCAGCTTGTGCTTCCTCCAGCCTGGTATTTCACATGATGTATTCTGTATATAAAAAAGCAGGGTGACAATATACAGCCTTGATGTACTCCTTTTCCTATTTGGAACCAGTCTGTTGTTCCATATCCAGTTCTAACTGTTGCTTCCTGACCTGCATACAGATTTCTCAAGAGGCAGGTCAGGTGGTCTGGTATTCCCATCTCTTGAAGAATTTCCCACAGTTTGTTGTGATCCACATAGTCAAAGGCTTTGGTATAGTCAATAAAGCAGAAATAGATGTGTTTCTGGAACTCTTTTGGTTTTTGGATGATCCAGTGGATGTTGGCAATTTGATCTCTGGTTCCTCTGCCTTTTCTAAAAGAAGCTTGAATGTCTGGAAGTTCACGGTTCACACATTGTTGAAGCCTGGCTTGGAGAATTTTGAGCATTACTTTGCAAGCGTGTGAAGTACAATTGTGTGGTAGTTTGAGCATTCTTTGGCATTGCCTTTCTTTGGGGTTGGAATGAAAACTGACCTTTTCCAGTCCTGTGGCCACTGCTGAGTTTTCCAAAATTACTGACATATTGAGTGCAGCACCTTCACAGCATCATCTTTTAGAATTTGAAATAGCTCAACTGGAATTCAATCATCACTCCCACTAACTTTGTTCATAGTGATGCTTCCTAAGGCCCACTTGACTTCACATTCCAGGATGTCTGGCTCTTGGTGAGTGATCACACCATCGTGATTATCTGGGTCGTGAAGATCTTTTTTGTACAGTTCTTCTGTATATTCTTGCCACCTCTTCTTAACATCTTCTGCTTCTGTTAGGTCCGTACCATTTCTGTCCTGACAAGCTGGTGTTAAAGCCAAGTGTCCCTCGATAGGGAGCTGGTTCCCTGAGTTAAGGGATTTTCATGCAGAGAGCCCCCATGTGGCTGGAGAAGCAACAGGCTCCTCTCAGGTTTCTGCAGTGGGGAATGTTCCAGGATGTACTATTAGCAATTCAGCACTACAGTGCAGAAGGGTGTATAGAGAGATCAGTGCATTTGTGGGGTGAGGGCTGGAGGTGCTTGCTCACATTTGCTGGTGTGTAATCGTGAGGTGGCAGGTGAAGGTGGAGGCCACTCACTGGAGCCTGGGGGCTGCGGGGCAGACGGGGCAGAGATGCAGGGAGGCCTTCACAGTTTCGTGTTTGAGGGATTTCACTTATGTTTTTCTCTGCAAAAATATAACCTCTTTTGGAAAAAGCAAAAAGGAGGTGCAGAAGGAAGCGATACTAAGGCGTCATGTCCCGGGGGTGACAGGCAGTGATGTGGCCCTGCCTCTGAGCCGGTCTCACACGTGAGGAGGGTGGGCGTCTCTGTGCTGTCCTAACCAAGTGCAGGGCGGCCGAGCTTGCAGCGGCCGTGACGCCTGGCTGTTAGTAGTGCCAGCGACATGTTCTGTGTGTGCTGGTATAGTGTGCACGTTTCAGAGCATCCACTGCGGGCCACGCATCACCTCACACCTGCGACCTCACTGCTCACAGCCTCGGGTACAGGTGTCGGACCTGAAGCCCAAGACATGCCCCACATGGTGCTGGCATGGGGCCGAGCCAGCAGCAGAACCCCAGCCTGCTGGCCCCAGAACTCCACCCCTAACCGGCACTCTCACTGCCTCCCTGAGAGTCTCCAGGAAACCGAGATCCATCCAGCTCCAGACGCAAGCCTGTTGTCCCAGTCACATTGCCCCGAGGGAACCACTGAGTCCACAGCCCACAGCGCGGTGCTGCAGGAAGGCAGGCCCTGGCCCCGGTCACTGCAGCAAGGCAGTGGTGGCCGGAGCCTTTCTCAAGTGAACCGCAGTGGGGTCATATCCTCCCATCTTGGCTGGTCACACCCTGCGGTTCCTGCCTCTACAGAGTGGGCAGCGTCAGCCTCTGGTGTGAGGGATTCCCTACAGACATCCGGGTCTCCTCCCTGCCTGCCCTCAGCTCTGTTCATCTTGCTCACTGGGGGGGAAGCATAATTGAAAGACAACGTCCTCCTTGATGACCTCACCCTGCACCCCCACATTGCCTCGAGAACAGGATGTGTTGTGCTCTGGAGACTTGCACCCTTCAAAAGTGCTGGGGAACCTTCCCCAACGCCTTCTGTTCCCCTGGCCCTGCTGCGTCACCAGCTTTTTGGACTGTGAGCAGTGGTTCAGTCAGTGGTCAGTCTTGTCTTCTTCACGGGGAGACTAGTCCCTCAGGCTGCAGGGACCTGACCTGGAGAGGCTCGAGGCTCCCTTCACTTTTCCTTGCATCTGCTCTCATGTCCAGGCTCCATCCTGCCTGGCTCCCCCAGATCCTCAGAGCTGGGATGACCTAGTGCTCAGAACATAAGAGATGCTCAGAAAATGTGTATTGAATGAAACTGGAAACTGACCCAAATACCTATGTCTGACTTTGGGTGACATTGCAGCAGCAATTTGGATGGTATAAAAATCCCAGGGTGTTTTTGAGAGGAAAGCCTTCTTTTGAGTTAACTTAGGACCTTCCCATTTCTCTTAAGTACCAACCCAGTTACACCTCCTTTAAAATATATGTATGTACATATATATAGCTCAAACCTCTTCGGGAGAAAACTGGCTAGTATCTGCTTTTGTTCCTCTACCTTCCTACTGCAGTGTTTCCTAAATGACGTCATAGAGACTCCAGGGGCTGTGCCGGGAACATGAAAACTCTGTTAGTTACCTACCATGTCCTTCCTGTGACCCTCCACCTTCTAGGAGCTTCTTAAGCTGCTATTGCAATTCTTCCCCAAGAGGGAGATCTTGCTTCATCAACACAAGATTCTGTAGGTCAGTGGTCCCCCCTGATTTTTGGCACCAGAGACCAGTTTTCTGGAAGATAGCTTTTCCATGGACTGAGGCGGGGTGGTGTGGTTTCCAGATGATTCAAGCACATTGCATTTATTGTGTACTTTACTTCTGTTATTATTACATTAAAATATATGATGAAATCATCCTGCAACTTACCACAGTGCAGAATCAGTGGGAGCCCTGAGCTTGTTTTCCTGAGCTCAGGCAGTAATGCAAGTGACGGGGAGTGGCTGTAAGTACAGATGAAGCTTCACTCGCCTGCCCACCGCTCACCTGCTGCTGTGCAGACCAGATCCTCACAGGCCGTGAACCGTGAACGTTTGTGACCCAGGGGTTGGGGACCCCTGCTCTCAGGAATCCCCTGGTGGTCCAGTAATTAGGACTCAGCGCTTTCACTGCCAGGGCCCAGATTCAAGTCCTAGTGGGGGACTGAGATCCTGCAAGCCGCCCAAGCAGGGCTAAAAAATACATATAACTTTTTTTATTTTAAGTCTGGAGGTCTTAGAGAAGCTTTAAAACAACAACAGCAAAACAAAACAAGAACCGCCACAGAATTCTGTAATGAATTACTTGACGTGGAAAAGGCGGTTAGAGTGGATGCTGGGCACAGAGGCAGCCGAGGTGCCTCCTGCTGGCACAGGCCCCCGGAGCAGAGGTGCTCACAGCGCATGGAAGCAACGCAAGTGCAGGGGCCGGGAAGTGTCGGGTCGAGGCAAAGCATCCCAGCCCTGGCGGTAACACCGGTGGCTTGCGGCATGCTCACCACATGCCACGCACCGGCTGGAGCTTCATGTTACCCCATTTCATCATCACGGGAACCTGGGGGAAAGTTCAGCCCTCACAGTTTGGTGAGGAGAGAGTGCGGGAAGCTGGGCCGGCCAAGGCTCCGTGTCCCTTGGGGGACTCTCTTAGGAAGCCCAGGGGGGACTTGGAGAATGGTCAGGTGTGTTCCAGCCTCCCGCCTGGTGGTGCCACCTGCCAGCACACACAGCCAAGCTCACTGCCTCTTTGGATCCCAGAGTTCGGACCTGTGGTCCGCAAAAGCCAGTCCTCTGACTACTGAGCATTTGGAGAAACATCTTCTCTAGGGCCAGACTTCCCTGGTGGCTCAGTGGTAAAGAATCTACCTGCCAATGCAGGAGACACAGGTTTGATCCCTGGCCCAGAAATATCCCCTGGAACAGGAAATGACAACCTTCCCCGGCATTCTTGCCTGGAGAACCCCATGGAGAGAGGAACCTGGTGGGCTGTAGTTCATGGGGCTCAGAATTGGACACAACTTAGTGACTAAACAACAGTTTCTCTAGGGCACAGCAAAACAAAACAAATGGGGACAGTGCAGTCAGCTTTCCACAAAGCTACTAATATTAATAGCTGTGTTCATGGTATTGGCTTTATTCTTTAATCTGAGGTTGTGTAAACTTAGCTAATTTAAACTATAAAACTCTGATTGCCTGATCTACTATTATATCAACAGTATTTTATAAAATATTGTTGATATGGTGGTATATGAGCAATTAATTTTGGGGGTGTGTGTGTGTATATTGCCTTATTTGGAAAATTAGTTGCCAGGGCTTAAGACAGTCATAGAGGTCTACATAACCTGATGTAGACCTTCCCTTTTACCTTCTTCCCTGCAAGAAGATCTCTCAAGTCTACTGGTTCCCAAATTTTATTTTTATGTAGCAGAGCCTATTTTTCCCTCCTCAGGCAAAATCTTGGATAATTCCTCAATATGTGGAATAGATAAAAAGACTGAATGGATTACATGGCATATCAGGTTATTGCTAAGTGGCAAATAGTCCCTAATCTCAGCAGCTATAAGAGCAAAGATCAGTCCTGCTCAGATGTGGCAGGTGGCACAGCCCCATCCTGACCACTGCTGGGGAAGGGAGGCAGAGACAGGGGTCTCCCATCCACAGAAATGACAGGTATCCATCCCACTCACAGTCGAGGGTCCAAACTGCTCTCCTGGTCTCTCCGAGAAGAGCCAGCCCCTTTCTTAACTCAAAAGCAGAGCCAGAAACTCTCAGCAGACAGGCCAGTGTCTAGCATGCAGGTGCAGTTTCAATTTTTCTTTAGAAACAGACCCCACTCATAGCATCTCTGAAGTGCATTTCCACCCTGGAACAATTTGAAAGCCTGCCTGCCCCATTCCTCCCTGCCTCTTGCCCACCTGCTGCATTGCATGGTGTGTGAGCAGCCCCCAGTTCATACCTGTGTGAGCTACAAACACATGTCTTTTCTACATGAACAGATGGAAACAGGAATTAAAGTACATGGAAAGTAGAAAGGAAGGAAGAAGTGTATAATTCGGTCATATTAAAAATGGGAACAGTGAAGACAGACTTGCATTTCTACCTACGTTGTACTTTTAAATCAAGATGAAATGGACATTCTTTGCAAAACAGAAAAATCTTAAAATTAACTGGAAAACCCAGAGGGAGAAATTGAACTCCCATTTTTTTAAAAAATGAATTCCTTTAAACTTTGAGAAATATTCAAGCTCTGTGCTGTGTAAACTGTAACAGAACCAGGAATAGCACTATATACTGAAGTTTTGGTCACCTTCATACATCAGGGCCTGTGCTGTACTTTTGGATACCAGTCAGATATGGCCATAGAGATTGCATTTCGTTTTTCCTGAGTCCACATTCTTCTCTCTGGGACCAGAACTCCACTCAGCAGCCATTTGAATGTGGGCCTGCTGACAACTAAATCTCTCCATGTTTATTTGGTCTATTTTGACTTTACTTTCATTATTGAAGGAACTTTTCACAGTTGGTCAAGTCCTAGATTAGGGGTTATTTTATCCTGTGCTTCTCCCATCCCATCGTCTTCTAACTCTCATCATGCAGGTCAGAAAGTCCACTGTCCTTCTCATTGCTTCTTTGAAAATAGCAAGTCTTTGGTTGCTTTTACATTTTCTCTGTTTTGCATGATGTTTCTGGCTGGTTTTGTTTATTTGTTCCTTTTGTTTTGCTTTTATCCTGTACCTAGATTCTGTAGCTTGGCGTATTTTATTTGTTTGGAAAATTCTTGGCCATCATCACAAACATACTTCCTTTTCATACTGTTCATGGAGTTCTTGAGACCAGAATACTGATGTGGTTTGCCATTCCTTCCTCTGGTGGACCGCGTTTTGTCAGAACTCTTCATTATGATCCATCTATCTTGGGTGGCCCTGCACAGCATGCTTCTTAGCTTCTCTGAGTTACACAGGCCCCTTCTCCACAACAAGACTGTGATCCAAGGAGATCAAATGAGGTAATCCTAAAAGAAATCAGCCCTGAATATTCATTGGAAGGACTGGTGCTGAAGCTCCAATTTTTGGCCACCTGATGCAAAGAATCAACTCATTAGAAAAGACCATGATGCTGGGAAAGATTGAAGGCAAAAGGAGAAGGCAGTGGCAGGAGATGCAATGGTTATTTGGCATCATCAACTCAATGGACATGAATTTGTGTGAACTCCAGGAGATAGTGGAGGACAGGAGCCTGGGAGTCACTAAATTGGACATGACTTAGTGACTGAACTACATCTCAAACATTTCTTTGGATCTGTTCTCTGTCTTCCTGTCTCACTGGGGTGCGATTGTATCTATGGAAGACCTTTTCATCATGTTCTAAGTATGTTAAGTTTAGAAGTGAGCACATACCGCTGGTCCTTGAGCTGGAAATGAGCTGACATCCATGAAGAGCAGTGAAGAGGAAGATGCAGCCCGCTCTTGAGGCCTGTTTCCTCTTCCTTTTTTTCTTTTCTGTGTGATTTGAAGGTGTAATTGAGGAGTGCAGGTTGAGACATCAGGAGTATAGGAGGCTTTGCAGGACACTCAGTGCTTATTGACCGAGGAAATCAAGCCCAAACTGCTGAGCTGCTTGGGCAGGGAGGCTGGTGGTTAGGAAGAGTGCTGGTTTGGAAGCAGGATTGTACATTCAGAACCCAAATCCTTACTTTACTGTGACCTTGAGCAGCTTGCTTCACGTGTTTGTGTTCTGTTGTTTGTGAGATGAGGATAAAGTACATATTTCATAAAATGGAGAGGATTAAATAAAAGAGCAGCATAAAGCACTCAGAGCTTTGCCCACAGCAACATTCAGGAAGGCTAATTGTTCTTGCTATGCATTATTATGTTGTCACTTCCTTGACTGCTCCCTGCCCACCCAGCACCCCCAGAGAGAGTGGTAACTGACTGTGGAGTGTTGGTGGTGGCAGGCCCCGGAGACAGGGCTCTGCTGGGTGTTTATTCTCAAGTCCACCCAGTCATCGCCCATTGTTCTATATGAGTGTGGCTCTTGAGTGCCAGGGGTTTGCCCCGTGTGGGGCTTTGGGGGCTCTGGATGCCCTGGTGACTGACTCTGGCCCTCCTTACCTCTTCAGTATGGGATGCTCCTTTACCAGAACTACAGAATCCCACAGCAGAGGAAGGCCATGCTGTCCTCCTTCTCGACTCCAGTGGTAAGTCAAGCTGCACCTCTGAAGCCACCATTCATCTTCAGCTGCTGCATCAGCATGGGCTGTGGGCATCTTTTCTCAGTGAGCCTGCCAGAGGAGCCAGAATATCTCACCAGCATGCGTTTCCCAAGAGATGGACTTTGTCATCTCAGCAGTGTGACTGCTGGGAGCAGATTCCTCTCTGCCCTCTCCCCTTTCCCACATCTCCCTGCAGCATTGCTTTGGTGAATGGCTCCCACTGAGAGCTGTATTCTAGTGTTCAGAAATGTTGACAGCAGTGCCCATGTCTACTGAGGAACTGCCTTCACCACCTTTGCTTCTGTCCATTTCAGCCAAGGGGTCCATGGTGCTGTTGACCATGATGCTTGAGTCCTTGCAAAAACTGAGATTGTAGTGAGTCTTCCTGTCATCTCAGGATGGACTTTATGTCCCAGAGGTACAGAAACACTTCATCCTCCCCAAATATGATCTTAACACGTTATTGACTGGGTGATGTTTTAACACGTCTTTTGTTATCCAAATGTTTATTGGCTAGGAGTATCAATACATTTTTAGAAAGTGATAGAATTAACATCACTTGTGAAGTTGTTAGATCTTAAAATTGATCAAAAGATTCATTATACAGTTTATGATTATTGTTATCACTCAGGTTTTGCTCCATTAGGTTTTTGTTGCACCCTGTGTATATTGTAAATGTGAAATTTTCAAAAATGACACATCGAGAAATTTTGAGTGAAAAATTTTTTGGTGAATTTTATGCAGATATTTTCTCTGATTGTCCAAGTCACATATATGTCAGTGTCTCAGAAGATGATAGTTCTTCAGAATATAATTCTGATTCAGACGATGTGAATATCAGACCAACAAAAAAGACAGAAAACCTTAGTGATTGACTCTGATGCGGAAAGTGAAAATGAAACTCACAGTGCTGGAGAAAACTTTACAGGGGTAACTATTGAATGTGATAACCTGCGAAGTGTTACTGAAATAACGGAATTAACTTTTTGGCCAGCCAAAATAAAAATCATCACCAACCACAGGTGTTAGTTTCTGCAGAAATCCCCCAGTTGATAATGAGTTAACAATCTCTCAATGTCCATTCCTCAGAGATGTCAAAGTGCCCACAGAAGGGGTGCCCGTGTTTCTGTGAACTGATACCTGAGAAGGGATTTGGCTGCCCGTGAGGGCTGGCTCGCCTGTGATGTTACCATTTCTTTGATGAGTTTTTGTGGGTGTTTTTTTGTAATGGAGCAGAAAGAAAGAATGACTTTATTACTTTGCCAGGCAAAGGGGGACCACAGCAGGCTAGGTCCTCAAGAACTGTGCCCTCCTTTGATGAGTTTTAATTCACATTAGAGACCCTGTGGACGACCACATGGGTTGACCCAGTGGCCTCAACCAGCAGCTTCCGAATATCTTGAGAGAACTGGAAGGTTTCTTTCCTCTTCTTGAGAAAAACCAAAGCCATTTTTCATCCAAGGGCCCTTCAGAAGCTGAGGGTTCTGCCCGATCCTTGGCGGCAGGGTCCTTGCCTGTCCTTTGCGGCCCCTCTCTGGGTCTGCACAGCTCTCCCACACCGCGGTCCCCACCCGCGGCTCCACTTGCTTCCCTGCATCGTAAGAATCCACGGCCTCTCCTTTGCAGCGCAGCGTCTCTGAGAACTCCCTTGTGGCAATGGATTTCTCTGGGCAAACGGGCAGAGTAATCGAGAATCCAGCTGAGGCCCAGAGCGCAGCCCTGGAAGAAGGCCACGCCTGGAGGGTAAGACTGCCGCCCGGTCCCACCCCTGGTCTGCCCCCAGAGAAATAGCTCTGTGCTGGCGGCAGGGGTGCAGAGCCAGGGAGGGGGCGTGGCTGTGAGTTCGCACCTGAGGGAGGCTGTGGCCAGCCTGCGCTCCTGCACGCCCCGGCACCCGGCCAGCCCTCCGGGCAGCCCCTGGGCTCCCTGGCAGGAGGCGCAGGAGCAGAGCCCTGAGGCCTCTTGGCCCACATCCCTCTCCCTGCGGACGTGTCGTCAGGGCCCCATGGCAGAGCGCCGGGCCCGTCGTTTCCGTCGTGGCTCAACCGCCGACCAGCTTCCCACCCTCGAACAGTCTCTTTACCCTGAGATTCAAGTTCCTAATCTCCAGATGGAAGAATTTCACCCAGCTTCCAAGCCTTTCTGAGCTTTCAAGGCAACTCTGGCTCAGAAAGCCTCCCCATCCTTCAGCTTCACAGTGTTCGGAAAAGGAGAATGTCCCCAAAGCTACAGGCCAGAGTTCCCTGGACGCACATGGTTTTCTCCTAAGGGGTATCGGGAAGCGCACTGCAAGTCTCTGCACAGACACAGCCCGGCTTCAGTGCTGGGATCGTTAGCAATACACCGGGGTGGGACGTTTCTGGTTTTGCTGTTAACAGCTGCGACCCGTAAGCTGTCTGCCCTCCTGGTCACATGGGCGGGGTCCTTGTGACCACACGGGACCGAGGCGGCAGTCCCTCCGCCATCAAGGGTCGTGCACCCGGCCAGCTTCCTGCCCTGGTGTGTCCCGGGTGGCGCGGTGATTGTGTTCACGGCTCCCTTGGCGCTGACGCGGGGATTTCTTTTGCAGAAACGAAGCACGCGGATGAATATCCTAGGTAGCCAAAGCCCCCTCCACCCTTCCGCCCTCAGTACAGGTAAACACGGCATGTTGGCTTGATGTTGTTGTACACAAATAACATAAAAGCACTGCCAGGCCTCCCCGGCCTCACGGCGGGCCTGGAGTGCAGCGCACGAAACCCGGGGCCACAGGAGTCGGGGCCCCATGTGACCTGAGCGCTCTTAGCAGGGCGGCTGCCGTGCGCGGAGCCCGGGCTGCCCTCCTTCTCTGGTCCCCACAGTGATTCACAGGACGCAGCACTGGTTTCACGGCAGGATCTCCAGGGAGGAGTCGCACCGCATCATTAAACAGCAGGGACTCGTGGACGGGTAAGGGACGCGCCCCGGGCGGCGGGAGTCTGCAGGGATCAGCTCCTCAGAGCATCCTGCCGTGTGTGCGTGCGTGTGGGGCGGGGGGTGGCGGGCAGAGGGCACGAGGGTGGTGCGGCAGCCTCGTTTTAAATCGGAGCACTGTGCTCAGGAGTATGAAGGTAGTGCAGGGTTTGCACGGCTAGGAAGTGGACAGAATGGCGGTCCTTTTGTCCAGACCCCATAATTCTCCTCCACCTGTTTGATGCAATTGCAACAGCCAAAGAACACACTCTAATTAATAAGGCAATAAGCAAGTGGAAAACTGTCTTTTTGCCTCCACCTTTTACTTTATGCATTATATCCTTTGACTTTTGCCCCAACCACCCCAAACCTCAGTGGCTTAAAGCAGCACAGCTGTGTCAGTGTTCACAGTTGAGGCAGGTTGGGTGGCTAGTCGCACTGGGGCCAGGATGGCTGCGCTTAGTGGCCAGTGGCCAGTGCTGCTGTGGATGGGTGATGAGACAGCTGGGTACAGGCCTCTGGCATGCTAGCCTGGGTCCATGCACTTCGTGGCCATCGTTGGGGTCCTGGGGGTAAGAGGTCAAACCCCAGTGCACAAACACTTCTGAAGCTGACACCTGCTTGGACAAGGCAAGCCACGTGGCCAGGCTCAGCATCAAGGGAATGTGGGGGATCTGCCTAGAGTGGGGCTATAGATGCATGAGAGCCCAGGGGAGTGGTCCCTGCGGAGCTCAGCCAGAATTCTGTCTCCACGCCCCAAAAAAGAGGCCCTGAGGAACTGGTTGGAGGTCTTGGTCCATCCTTGTCAGAGCTGCTTCTCACTGGGTCTACTTAAAAAATAGATTCTCAGAAGCTGCTCAACTCAGAACACTCCTTTTGTTGTTTAAATCCTTCATCTTTAAAAAGTTTTATTATGGACATCTGAGAATTCACCTGAGAGAGCCGAGTATAACAAACCGCATCCGCCTCTTGCCCAGCTTCAGAACTTGCTCACCTGAGCCTGTCTCTTCCCCTTCCTACATTTTTATTATTTTTTTTCTCCTTCTCCTTCCAACTTTTCCGACTTTTCTTCCTTCTTCTTGAGGCTTTTAAAGGAAATCCCAGACACTCAGAATTTTTCCCAGTAACCGTTGCAGTGAGTGTCTCTATGTCTTTCGACACAACCACAATATCATCATTGCACTTAAGATAAACAGGAATTTCTTAGTGTCCTCAGAAGTGCTGTCAAGTTCATGCACAAAGCCCTTTAATGTACTTGGTCTGAATGGGGAGCCATCCATGGCATCTGGTTGCTGTGTCTCTAAGTCTCCCTAAAAAGAACAGGTCTCCCGCCACTGCATTTTCTTTCCCCTTGTTTTTCCCTTGTCTTCCCATTGTTGAAGAAGGAGGTCATTGGCTAATTGTGTGTTTGTGGTTTCTTTGACTGTGTTCCTCTGTCTCCCTGGTTTCCTGTGAAGTGTGGGCAGAGGCTCCTTCTGGGACAGAGCTGCGGTCGCTGTGTGTCTGCACTCCTCGCCCCAGGTTGTCCTGCTCCCTGATCCTGGGCTGGGCAGGGGTCTCTATTGTCAGCCCGGCCCCCCACCCCCTCCCCCGCCCAGCTCCCAGCCCCCAGGGTCATCGTTTTATTAGAGGTTACAAAATCGTCGTTTCCTAATTCTGTTATTCCTTCATGGTCCCTTCCTTGAAACCCTTTCCCCCATCACATATTTGTATTTTGGGGAGAGGTAACTAAGTGCTTGATTTTTTTTTAATATGTCCATTTATTTACTTTGGCTGTGTGTGTGGTTCTTTGTTGCTAGGGTGGGCTTTCTCCAACGATGAGCGGGGGCTGTTCTCCAGTTGTGGTGTGCAGGCGGCTCATTGCAGGGGCTCCTCTGGGTGGGGAGCACAGGCTCTAGGGCACGTGGCTCGGTAGTTGTGGGACAAGGGCTTAGTTGCTCTGCAGCGTGTGGGATCTTCCCAGACCAGGGACCATATCCATGCCCCCTGCTTTGCAAGGCAGACCTTCAACCACTGGGCCACCAGGGCAGCCTGGTTTTCCCCTTTTATTTGTCATTTTCTTTTTTTCTTTTGGGGGGGGTATATAATTGCTTTAGAGTATTGTGTTAGTTTGTGCTGCACAATGATGTGAATAAGCTATTTATGTACATATATCCTACCCTCTTGGATTTCCTCCCATCCCCATCCCACCCCGCTAGATCATCAGAGAGCAGTGTCTGTTCCCAGGGTCATTTGGTACCCTGCCATCTTCCAAGGCTGACAAATGAGGTGCTGTATTTTGTATTTTAACTCTGGTGATGAGCTTGATGCTGTGTGTTCGACTTCTTTCAATCCAAGCTTAATGTTCTTGATTTTCTGGATGCTTTCTTTTGGGCTCGTGGGGTGTGCCTCTCTTAAGTTGGTTCCTGAGTTCTTTTGACTCAAAACTAATAGGGTTTGTTTTCTAGCTGTGACACATTCTCTCAGATGCCCTAACTTTTTGGATTGGAAAATGGTGTCTGGAAACCAAATCCGTAGATCTTTTCCATGGACAAAGCTAGTACATATGCTTTTTAAACTGAAAAAGATTACAGGTTCACATTGATTTTCTAGTTCAGTCATCTCAGTTGTGTCCGACTGTTTGCAACCCCATGGACAACAGCACACCAGGCCTTCCTGTCCTTCACTATCTCTTGGAGCTTGCTCAAACTCATGTCCATTGAATTGGTGATGCCATCCAACCGTCTCACGCTCTGTTGTCCCCTTCTCCTGCCTTCAATCTTCCCCAGTATCAGGGTCTTTTCTAAGGAGTCAGCTCTTCGCATCAGGTGGCCAAAGTTTTGAAGCTTCAGCATCAGTCCTTCCAATGAATGTTCAGAATTGATCTCCTTTAGGATTGACTGATTTGATCTCCTTGCAGTCCAAGGGACTCTCAAGAGTCTTCTCAACACCACAGTTCAAAAGCATCAATTCCTCAGTGCTCAGCCTTCTTTATAGTCCAACTCTCACATCCATACATGACCACTGGAAAAACCATAGCTTTGACAACTCAGACCTTTATCAGCAAAGTAATATCTCTGCTTTTTAGTATGCTATCGAGGTCGGTCATAGCTTTTCTTCCAAGGAGCAAGTATCTTTTAATTTCATGGCTGCAGTCACCATCTGCACTGATTTTGGAGCCTGAAAAAATAAAGTCAGCCACTGTTTCCACTGTTTCCCCATCTATTTGCCATGAAGTGATGGGACTGGATGCCATGATCTTGGTTTTCTGAATGTTGAGCTTTAAGCCAACTTTTTCACTCTCCTCTTTCACTTTCATCAAGAGGTTCTTTAGGTCCTCTTCACTTTCTGCCACAAGGGTGGTGTCATCTGCATATCTGAGGTTATTGATATTTCTCCCAGCAATCTTGATTCCAGCTTGTGCTTCCTCCAGCCTGGTATTTCGCATGATAGACACTGCATATAAGTTTAAAAAGCAGAGTGACGATACGAAGCCTTGACGTACTCCTTTCCCAATTTGGAACCAGTCCATTGTTCCATGTCTGGTTCTAACTGTTGCTTCTTGACCTGCATACAGGTTTCTCAGGAGGAAGGTAAGGTGGTCTGGTAGTCCAATCTCTTGAAGAATTTTCCACAGTTTGTTGTGATCCACACTTCAAAGGTTTTAGCATAAGTCAATGAAGCAGAAGTAGATGTTTTTCTGGAATTCTCTTTTTCAGTTTAAAAAGCTAGGACATAGGCTCTTTAAACTGAAAAATAGATTACAGGTCCACATTGATATCCCAGTTCAAATGGAAAGCTACAGGATTTGTACATCTTAGACTTTATCGTATCTCTCTTTTCTTCCTCTGAAAAATCTAATGTCATTAGCTCTTGCTTTACCTCACTCTGTATTTGTGAGCTGTATCCCATATCATACCATAAGAATACTCATCACATTACTCCAGTAAGATCACTGAGCTCACGCTTCGTTATGGCCCTTTCACCCTTGGGGAACATTCCAGGCAGGGCCGCATTAGAATACTAGCCTTAAGGTAATTCTTCTCTGCGGTTCCACCACCAAACTGCCATGCCTCGGGCTCCTTCCTCATTTTTGATTATTAGTTAAATGGATCTGATTTCTTTTCTCTTCCATTTAATGCTGCTTTTAAAAAACTATTTGAAACATTGCCTCGATTCCAAAGTCAAACATCTAAAAAAAGGCACTTTGCCTGGTGACTTGACTCTCCTCCCCAACTCCACCGTTGGTAAACATTTTCGTCGGTGTTTCTTTATCCTTCCGTTGTTTCCTTTTTCAAATATAAGCAAAACACATTTGTGTTTGTAATCTGCCTCTCCTTAACCAGGGTGTGTGCTGTCCATGGAGGAGCAAGCCTGAGCTTAGCTGCGTCCTGAGGAGGCTGGGAAGGAGGGCCACCTCCTGGTCCCCTGCTGTATTCACTTTCACACATTGTTCCAGCTTCATTTTTTTCCAGGCCTCTGTTGTGGTGCACTGTGCCCCATCTTCTGTTTCTGCTCGTGAGTTCGTAGACAGGGGAGTGTTGAGCAGTGAATGTTGTAAAATATGCCCGGTTCTCCTCCCCAGGGTTGCCTGAGAGCCACCTGTGGGTCCCTTGTCCAGGAGGCTGAGTCTCTTGCTGTATGTGTAAGGACCAGTTTCACTTCTAATCCTTTCTGCGATGCTGCACTGTTGATGTATCTTTTGCCCGATTTTTCTCTATCCATTTTTTACAAATATTTTTTTCCAGGTTGTTCTTTGTGTTTTTGACTTAGCTGAGGGGGGTTTTGTTTTGATTTTTGGTTTGGTTGTACCGTTTTTCTAAATATGGTCACATTTATCTTTTCTGTCCTTCAGCCTATAACTTTCTAGATTTTTGAGCCCTAGTCCACATACAAGTTTTTCTCCATTCCTCAATCATAAAGGAGTTTGTTCATGTTATACTCTAGAACTTGTATTATTGGTTACACTCCCTTCCTTTTTTTCATGATTATTTCTTCAATTTCTGTTCATTCATTTT